CGTCAAATTTCAAATTGTGCGGCTTTGGAAAACGTATGTTCTCGTCGTTTTCGCGCCTTCTAATATGGATTTTCGGATCCAGCGTTGCGGATAACCCCGGAAAGTGATTTTCTAAAAGTCGAGTTTTTGCTCGGATACTGCCTTTAACACATTGACGACGATACGACCCACCGGTGGGTCGTAAGATTCATGAAGCGCTATCTTTGCCAGTTTACGACGGAATTCTACGGGGTTCTGGCACATGATTGGGGGCACTTAGGTGAAGCTCCAGTCAGAGTAGTCCGGGCTTGGGGTACTGTAATGTAATGTTACGGTAGATATACGGTAGATATATATATATAAGGCACAAGCTTTAGCTCAAATTCTTCGTAAAATGATGCTGTTTCAGGCGAATCAAGTTTACATGTAAGAGTAATACGGGGCAGGCAAGAGGCTGACGTTAGCCCATCAAAAATTATCGATTTTATTGATTTTATTGGTTTTTTGCATTTTTCATCCTAGGAAGCTCGAACTTTGCATACATAGGTTTTGTGGCATGCTGATTACGAAATGATAGTTTCAAGTTTTGATACCACCTCCTAACATCAGTTTCTTGATTTCCACGAAAATTCTACCGTACTGCTATCGTAGTCTCACCGTGAGAATGTAGTGAACAAAGTGGACACTATAATCGTGATCAGCACGTGAAATAACCCCAATACACAAATTTTCATGAAAATGCATGATGTTGGGTTAGTACAGAATGACTACCGTAACCTTACCGTATAACGCCAAAAACTGAAATAAATCGTATTTTGGTAATCAGCGCGTTCGATAACTTGTGGGGAAATTCTCGGAGACATGTTCTGAGTTTCTTCCAAAAAGACTACCATTTCGGGCAATACGACCCACGGGTGGGTCGTAAGTTTGGCAGAGCAAGAAAGGCTCCTGTCCGAAATGGCAGTAATCGAAAAATCGGCCTTGTCGTCAATGTGTTAAAGGAACCCGGTCCGTCTTCGAATGGTCCCAAAATGCCACCTCGCGCTGCCCTGCTCCTCGTCTTCCGCATATGAAAACCGCCACGGGTAGGGGAACGAACTCCGCCATTGCGGCGCTTCTGCTGGCAACCGCTGGTTTTGCAATGTTGTTGCATGTCGTTGCAGGACCAGTACTCCGCGGAGATGGCTCAAACTGGCTGAATTAGTTCCTCCACCCAACCGCCATCTTTGCACAAAAAGTGCGGTCGGGTTCCATCAACGTCCGTAAATCATCAATCAAGCAATGCTTCCTCAAATTACAGCGAGAAGATCCAAACAAAGAGGACTGGCTCGGCAGTATTCGAGGTAACTTAGGGGTTCTCGCCTGACTTGCGTTGGTGCAGCCTCAAGTTCTCATCTGGCAGTAAGATCACTGGGTATGTTGTACTCATACCCTTGTGTGAGAATTGTATGTTATATGAGAATGGGGCACTTGAGTGTTACTGAGATGCGGTGAGCTACGAGATTCGAAGAATTTCGTAATATGTGTTCAATCACCATCGGTGTTTCAAAAGTCCGGTCAGTTATGACATACTCATGATCAGCGCTGGTGCCTCAAGGTATGATAACCACAGATGCCGGTAACATTACTTAACGCCGCAGGATCAAATTGCTATTAGAGGCCTAGAAGCAACGGACCTCTAACACGCTTAGTACTATATCGTGGCAGGCACCTGGCATTCCCGCAGGCTCCGCTACCATCATAAAGTTGTCCTACTTCACGATGGATCCCTGGCTCGTGTGCGACGGTGAGCCGAATCGACGATGTCTGGAGCTGGTAGCCTAATCCGCAACACAGTGGCTGAGCGAAGGTGGGAATGAGGCCGAGGCTTCAAAGCAAAAGCAAGCAAAGGAGTCCACAACGGATTCTACCTGCGCACCGCGATTCCGACGATGGAGCGGATCACTTTCAGGCACACTTTTGCAAGCCGGAGGACACTGTCACAGCGACTCTTGCATCGCAGCTAGTATCTACCTTCAAAAGCAAAGGGTTCCGACCGGAAATTCCAAGAATCATTCCTTTTCTTCAAAAAAAGCGAAAGGGAGGACCTTCGGAACGACCCACCGATGTGCCTCTTAGGTGCCTGTAGAGTCTTTTTGAAGACTATCCTCGCTCATATATCAAGACTGGATGATGCACAGCCCAAGCTGGATTTCGCAAAGGATTCAGCTGCGTGAACCACATCCAAGCGGTTTTGGGGTCATAAAAGTCCACCGAGAGGTACCGGTGAACTCTCGTCCTGACTTTCGTCGACACCAGAAAGCATTAGCGGCATCGAGCCAACACTGTTAGCGTGAGTCTATCAAGGAGTGGATCCAATTTATAAAAGGACATTCGACTGCTACATGTACAAAAACGATGCCCCTATTTCGCCGACTCTGACCACCGCGATGGAGATGGCTCAAGGCGGCGCAATCTCAACGAGGCTGTTCCCTGCTCCTTGCATTGAGTAATGAAGGCACTGGATGGGAACAGAGGCAGACGAGCTGATGTAAGCTTCTTCCTGTCTTTCATTTCGTGCATCGTTCTAAGCAATATCACTGAAGCAGAGACATGCTGCAGAAACTAAAGGAAGCAGTGGAAGACTCGGTACATGAAGCACGCCCTTTGTGTAAACGCGAAAATGGAATTGGAGGTAGGGTCCAGCAAAGATCGTATGGAAGCAGTCTGGACTTCGTTTTTGGGGCGAGAAAGCAAAGGGGATATCGCTTTTGTGGTCAAAAATTTCGACTACGTTTAGGGCTGAGGGTCAAAGAGGGCTTCGTAAAATTTCCAAAAGTTGAGGGGGACTTCGTTTTCAAGAAGCCTAAAAACGAATTCATGTCGGGCCCTGATTGGGATGCAATACCATTGGGCGTCTTCTTACGTCGGACGTTCCATGGATGCAAGGAATGATTTACGAGCAGAACTGAACAGGAAGGAAAAGTAGTGCGGGCTGCTTTCCAACCTCTAAAGAGTCAGCTGACGGACCCGGAGCTTCGAACCCACAACTCATAACCCATCAACCGTTTTCCCGCAGTGTTAGATACGCAGCTAACACCGGAGACGCCTTTGCAGCCACTAAGAGGCTCTATGGGCCACACACAAAGCGTTCGAGCGCAGTTTTCTAAAGACGACAAGTAAGAAGTTCATGGACATCGGGAAAGAGGGACAGGAACAGATGGAAACTTCGGCGCTGGGACCGCTTGTCATCTACTCTCTACGATTTCATCTACCAATCTTTCTTCCCTTTGTCTCGGCCAGCTAATCACAACTCTACTCAGCAACTGACCGGAACTTCCGGAACGTTTGGAAAAGTTCCGCTGGCCACCTGCGAAAGTTCCGTAAAAGTGTTGCGGAAGTTCCCAAATGAGGTGTTGCGGAAGTTCCGAAGATTGCGAGCCACAAAAGAGAACACCAAGGCGAGATTTGAACCTTACTCTATTGACTGTGAGACTCACCTACTATCCTCTCCACTCAGTGGTGGTCCGAGGGGAGGGGGGTGAGGGGGGGGGGGGCGCCCCCCCCCCCAGAATGGGTCGCGAAATTTTTGAAAATTACCTATATGGGTTATAAAAATGTGCAAACGACTTGTTTATTTTTGTAAATAATTAAAATAATTTTTAAAATTTTTTAAAAATTCAAATTAGCCTTATAAAAAAATTTTTTCGGGGTCGTGGCTGACGCCACGCCTCCTTTTCCAGATTTTAGGGGTTGGAGACCCGCAAAAATTTTGAGAAGCACCCCAAAAAATTTTTCGGAGTGCGTGGCTGACGCCACGCACCTTCATTTGAAAAAAATTTTAGTCGCGCCCCCCCCCCCGGTCCGAAATCCTGGGACCGCCACTGTCTCCACTAGGCTGACATGTTCGATTATGCACTCTAGTTGTTGGCGAGAAACATCATACGAGACAGCACATTCAAAACCCTGCGGAAGTGCTGGCATGTCAAAGTGCTGCGGAACCGCCGGCATTTTTCGGAAGTTCCGCAGCGCTTCGTAGAAAGTCCTGCGGAAGTTCCCATTTTCAACGTTTTCACTTTCGCAATAGTAAGCAAAATCCTGCGGAACCGCTGCAAATTTTGCTAGTCCTGCGGAAGTTCCGGTGGATTGTCTGAGTAATAAGAAATCAAACATCCATATATGCGAAAGGCTGTCGAAAAAATAATCAGAGAACAGCATATGGAATGAACTTGGAACACTCTATGCAGTAAAAGAACATACCCACACTGCGTTATTAGCATGTCCTAAAACGAGCTTGCAGTGCATGTATATCTGTCAGCCTGGTCAGACTAGTAACTTTTTCCAAAGAATCCCTGACTATTTCACCATCATTTGTCCTGATTTCAACAATGAACATCTCACCGTGAAAATTACTCATACAGAATAATCACTCGTTCTACGACTAGGAGACGCGAGACCGCATTGCACACATTGTCTAAACAAGCCTAATCGTATATGCAGGTTTATACTTGTTATTTATCTCGCTCAGGTTTAATCAAACTTTGGAAACAGGGAAAAACAAACTCAAACTTGTTAAGACAATGTCCGCAAAGCGGTTTCGCGTCTCCTAGTCTAGAATAGATGACATTTCCCTCGCAACGGATTTGAGCAATTCTGCAGCGATATCAGTATGGCCGTACTGCATCAAAGCGAAGGAAGGACATTGTTAAGAAAGAGCATAGTTCGTATGGAAGTGACCCAAATTATTCTAGACCAAGGCGATTTTTCAAAACATCGGCGTTCAAGAAACATCACAGTTTATGTGTTATTATTTCATATATTGCTGTGTTACGTAGAAAAGTATGTTCCATTCACAAAATTATTCTGCTTCAAGCGGTCAAAAAATGGAAGTTACATCCGGATTGAGTTTTGAAGAAAGAAGAAGATGGAATCTGCACTCAAAACAAGTTTAGAAGGGAGGAAAGAATGAGAAAATAATAGATGATTACAACACGAGACTAGCGCTGCCATATGAAGGACTCGAAGAATTTCTTAAAACTCACATTTCGCAAGAATGTGATCACAGGTGTTCCGATATCGAAATCGCCTTCCAAGTAAGCAGTAAGGCAACGAATCAGAAACTCTGTGCGGATGGCGGTCTTTTCCTTGCCTAAAGTCTTGTTTAGAGAACTTGAACGTTTCCTGCACTCGTATTACATTTCATTTTCTACAAAACCTTACGCCATCCTTCTCGCCATTCGAATGAAAAGCAAAAAAAATGTTGCAAAGGCAAGCTAAAAAAGTGAATGGCCTATATAAAAAAAACCAGTGCGCAATGCACTGCTTTCCTTCGATCAAAATAGGTCCTCACTCACAAAATTATGTATACTAACAAAAGGTTATTTCCCACTCACTCGATACAATGATCACGAAGAAATTGTGAAGCAGCTGGCCAATAAACGGTTTTATAAGTCTCGCTGCTTTGCCTGGAGTGACAGAAACCCAGAAAAGGCACAACTGGATGTCGGATGCTGATGGCAAAACCTGTAATGTTTCAAAGTAAACATTGTCATGAAGACTGGTCACATTGTGAACAAAAACAAAAAGGAGTTATGGGCAGGTTGATGGTACCTTTGATGAGACCGACTGTACAAGCAGCGGAAGCTGACCGTCGCTGGAGGCTTCAGCGTCTTGAAGTTCAGCGCTGACCCGATCGGTAAGCGCGTTAAAAATATGACGAGCGCCGGCGAGCTCGAGAACGCTTCTACTCGGCTGTTCTTCTGTTGCAAACTTGACAATCTAGAATATTTATCCATGAAATCTCCTGATGTTACAGTGCTAGTCTAACCAGAAAGATCAGCTGTGCAGCTGTAGATTCGTCCAAAATCCTTCTCGGGCCAGCTGGAAGAGGTTGACCGAACCCGACAGCGGAAAGAAGAACGCGCGCGCAATGCACCGCCGGCGAACCACAGTCCGCTCCACAAGTAACAAGTAGTCTCTAAAAACCTTCTATGTTATATGAATTTTGATGCAGAAAATTCGGAAATTTGGTACTGAACCCACTTGGAAAACAAACTGGATGGATTTTTGTGGGAATTGAGTGAAGTCGGTGAGTAAAGAATCAACGTAGCTAAGCGAGTACCGCGCCGGAGATGACAGGCCGATCGACATACGAATACACAACAACAACTACGCCAATAGTGAACCACCTCATTCACCTTTGGATGTTCCTAAAATTCAAAATGACTAATGCACAAAACGTTCAGTACATGGAAACACCAATATTGAAAGCGAAATAACTAATCATGCAGAGACTAGTTGTACCACTTCGTATCCATCAGTAGCATGAATTGTTCTGAAGCTTTTTTTATGTTATTGAATAGGGAAAATTGGTAATCGCTCAATGTAGTCAACACTGTAACGCCAACAATTATCCAAGCAACTTCCCCTTTATTACTAGAAGATAGACTGAATATGCGCACCACTTACATGGTTATCTATAACCTCCTCCCCCTCCGAGATTAGGTCACCAAAAGTTATTTTGAAGGCAGCGTCCAGGCAGATCTGGGCCTATGGGGATTTTATGTGAAAAGTACTTTTGGGGCCCTAACTAAGGCACTGCTCAGGCGGCAGCGCAGGTAATGCTCTAACAGCTGAGATATTCCCCTCGAAACTGGTCCCCGCGATCGTATTCGCATGGATTCATGGCAGCTTCGCGCCAGGACACAATCTTTGCGCCGAGAATCCATGCGAAATACGATTGCGGGGTCCAGTTCCGAGGGGAATATCTTAGCCGTTAGAGCACTATCTGAGCTGCCGACTGGGCAGTGGCTTAGTTAGGGCCCCAAAATTACTATCCACGTGAGCCCTTGTGTCCAGACTTGCCTGGACGCTGCCTTTAAATCAGTGATGCAATTGTGCAAGTGACTTTCTTTTTACTCCAAATAGTGGAACAAGTTCCACAATTCTAGAAATTCCAATTAACACTGTAAAAAACTCGGAGTGCTGCTGTCACTTCTGTGGAGAAATTCGAGATTATAGGTCCACCGAAAAACTGAAAAGGAACCAATGAAATTCGCTCGTAAGTGTGGCATCAGCCACACCCAACATTAGGAAAAATCACACCTTACAATGAAGGGGATTTGCCCAAAACGGGGTGAGTGAAGCAAAACGGCTTCAAAGTGACTGGTTGGCCGAGACTGTAGCCAACGGCCCTGCACTGCATACCATAACCCCATCTTGTAGCTCCCCGTGTAGAAACTGAAAAGCTTTGCGCAAACCTCCCTCGTTATTTTTCTGAGTAAGTATTAGCTCAACTAGCACAATGCTAAGCATATTTAGCCGGACCTGTGCACAAGTCTCTTAAAAAGTCATTTCAAAGATAATTACGGCGTATTTTTGAACGACGCTTTTAAACATCGATAAAGAGAAGGAAAAATAACAACAAAATAAATAAATGAAATGTTTATTTGCTAACCTTGCACGCTTTCTCAAGTTGCGGGACAAGCAGAAACGGATGTTGATACCCGTGGATAAGCCCTGCTCCTGCAAAAATAGGAACAAATTCTCCTGGAAACATAGCGTCATCAGCTTTTCGTGCTAACCGACAACACACATGACACAATGCAAACACCACAGACCGTACGATGAGCTCAGGCACATCGACGGAGCGCTGGATTTTCCACTTCAAAAAACGCTTAACGGCTGATTGGCCAAGATCGATAAGCAGTTTACGACAATCAAAACTCGAGGTAAAGGAAAGTAGTATATGATTGGGATGTATTTAGTGATGTGACAAGATCTAAGCTGTAACTGCTATGGAAAAGTAATGAAAATGATAAATCTAGGAGGTAACTGAGAGTAGCACAGAAATGATAGTTTAGAATCGATTTGAGACAAAAAAAACAGAAACTAAGTGTTTTACAGCCATTGGAATGATTGAAGAGCAAATTCGTTTGGAACTGAGCATGACACCCAGATAATTATCAGAGAAGGAAAGGGCAACGAAGGTTACTTGAGGCAATATTATTTTTGAAAAAAATGGAAAATTAGATAAACTAATAACTTAAATACATATTTTCGTACATGATGTACACCGACAGAATGCTAACCAGAAATCTTGTGGACTTGCTACCGGACAAAGACGATGTTTTCACAAAACAGAGTCGTTAGTGCATCAAACAAATGTCGTACACCAGTGGAAAAATTCACAACAATTTGCGATAATCAATCTATCTCATGTTATTCAGCCGAAGTTACAGAAAAATCCCTACCACGATAAAAAGAAAATCAAACAATGTTCTCAATATACGAATAGAAAATAGAAGAGCGGAATACCGTAATCGAACCTGATAAGCTGGAAAGACTAAGCTGAACCCTCATTTGGAGTTTCTATGGATCAACGAGCCAAAAAAGACAATTCGATCAGGTTGAATGAACGTTCGCTTGGTAACACTGCCTAGCGCTGCGAGACAAAGCAGCAAAGTGATTCATAGTACAGCGCAAAGTTCGACTGCTTGAATCGACAACACGAAGAATTGAATGAGAAAATAGCGCTCTCTGGGTTCCGAGATGGCCAGAAAAAGATACTGCCCTTCGTGGCAAACTTGAGATGGTAAGATAGTTCCTTGTTCATCGGCAACGCTTCTTTACATCCCAAAACTATCCAAGGAACAAGCTAGGCATAAACGACATCAAAATTTTTTTTAGAATTTTCCAACCAGCGAAGGTGTGTGGGAGAGGCTGAGATATTCGCAATATTTGCATCAAATTCTAGATCTGACCCCGATCTGAGTTGTCTTGATGGATGCATGCGAACAAAAAGACGCAGCAGAAAAATGAACTGCAATAATCACAGCAACTCCAATTGCTACTATTGATCGATTGCCTAGAGGACTCATAAAGTGAAGTGATGGCACATTCAATTCGAAATGCACACATCTGGTCACATGTATCTGTGGGATACGTCTTAGAACACAAAGCGAAAGCGAGCCGGTACACCGACGCGCTGAAATTCTATGCATATGTCTGAATATTTGCTGGTCTAAATTCTTTTGGGAACATTTGGAAAAGTGTGCATATGTGAAAGCGACGATAAAACATGTAGAAAGGGAGAATTTCAAGATTGCCAATGGATGCGGCAGCCAATTTCACGATTCAAAACGCTAGCCCCAAGAAAAGGAATAGTAGCCCCTAGATTTGACACTAAACCGCCTTGATGGACCAAAACGCTCATCTACTGTAATCGGCAAAAAATGAAAATAAAATGACTGATTTCGAAATCAACAAATCACCTCAAGTGCCAAATGACTCCCGTAAATGGCGAGCTGAGTAACCATTTCCATGAACGAAAAGCTCTTGCTTTCTACACTAGCCTATGTTCAGGTATCCAAAATGAATAAACATACCTTAAACAGACTCTATGAACTTTCCAGATCATCAAAATTTATTGACTTGTATTAAATCAAATAGAGTAACGACAAATATGTAGAATTCACACCGACTGAACTCCTAAGCTTCCGATTCATCATTGAATTAAAACGAAAAACGTTGAAAGAGAGCAAAATTAAAAATAAGGGATACTCGAAGGAATCTAAGTGGATCACCCAGAATGCACATGCGTGCACACATTACACGACCAATTCAACAACAGTTTAGTAAAAGAAGTAAGAAAATCACGCATATGTAACAAAACTAAAAACACACCACGCTGACCATCCGTCAGTGAAGAGAACATTTCCAAGTATATATATTACAATATTGACGAGAGGTTGAGGTTTCAAACGAAATTCAATCACTAGGCAGGTGATTTCACATTCTGTTTGGGAGAAGATTCGAGAAACGGGTAGGTCAAAGAATAAAATAGAAGTAAGAATTGACAAGTTATCTATCGAATCTTGCCGGCTCGCTGGTACAATGCATCAACCACCTCACCCATAGCGTGAATTGTTTTCAATGCCGTTTCATAGGTAGCATCCGGTGATGAGACGTCATAAACGATCAGCATTCCATCGCCTTGATGCAATGAACCGCTGAATTTCTTGTCGAGGATCATCTGAGAGAGTTTCTTTTCAACCTAAAACGATATGCAGTGAGAAAACAGATTGTGAAATACAAGAAAGAGCATTGGTTGTGATTAAAGCGTACGTGCCAAGGATGAACAAAATTACAAAAGGGTTAAACCAAAGGATTATGCAAGTTACACATAAGCTTCTAATTACTGAAGAAAAAGGAAAACTACAAAAGGCAGCGTCGAAAAACTGATTGTTCCTCCACTTCTAATCATTGAAATTTTGATATTTTTTTGCTAAATAACGCTGCAGTCTCTCATTACAAATTATGCCCCCCCCCCCCACTGAATATAACTGCGTAATCAAAAATTCAGTCACGCGCTGCTGCTGTTTTATCCATACTACCCTCACTTTCGATAGTAATTTTTTTAAATCCTACAGTCGCGGAAACAAAGCAGTACCCAAAAAATCCAAAAACTTGAAAGTCTTGCACACGGTCAGGTAAACTTTTTGTTTTCCTAAAAAATAGATATGGATCTTTCTTCCAAACTGATCTTGCGTATCCTCAAACATTTTGTAAAACCCTTAGTATGCTCCAGCTAATGGAAATGAGCGAAGCAGGTGCACACAAGCTCATAACAATGCGTGTGACTTTGACTCTATGGGCTTAATATGTCACAGTATGAAAATACTAAACTAGCCGCACCTGTCACAAGAATTATGAGATTGTGTTATGGAATTTCGGATCGCTTCAAATCAATATGTACTTGCTAGGAAAAAGAATTAGAGTGAAAATTATATGATATCCATCATTTCTATACTAAAGATTTTTCCTGCAACAATGTTGCAACTAATTAACCCTATGAAAGATTGGGCGAAGAACCCTACACTGAAAGCATCCCGGCGCCTTACTAGATCGCACAATCTCCCTAACACTACGTGGAGACAGAACGATTATTTGTTCTGCTTGGAGTTGTTTACTCAGCGGAAAAACTGACAGATTATAACAAAAAGCTGACCTTTTCTCGATCGATACCGATGCTGTTCGCTATGTGATCGATCTGGACGTATGAGTATGGTTCAATGATACGACAGAGATCCTTTTCAAGCATCCTTTCACTAAGGGAGTGGAAGTGCTTGCGCACGACTGGGTCCATCTAGGATAATGTATTGATGTAAACTGTTCTAATGAATCATGTAAAATACTCACTTGCAATTCTTGTGGATAAGCGCCGAAAGCAGTGTTAAAATCGGCGAGACTTCGTTTCTTAGCAGCTGCCGCTATAGCGCGCATCGCTTCCAAATCAGTGCCAGAATATTTGAGAGCAAGTTTACCGGTCAATAGTGTATTAACATCGTCAGGTAGATCCAGCATAATCTGAAAAAGCAAAATTTGGCACGTCCGTAAAGAAGACGATAGTCCAGTTACCTTGCACAAAAGCATGTACTTCAATGATAAGAGTGCCAAGTTCTTCTCATCAACGGAGGCGTATCCTTCAAATGCTTCATAGAAGTAAGAAAACGCCGTCTTGAAATCTTTTTCATCAGCCGCGTGCAAGATTCCAGACTGCAGATCGAGAGCGGCCTGTACAAAAGCATTTGTGGAGCTTTTTGTTGATCACATTGAAGTGTCATTTCGCAAGTGGAACGACAGCTTCGAAAGGGATAGCTTTAGAGTAGAAAATTTTGAAAAACAGTTTTCAAGTGAAAGCAACTCCAAGTCGTCGATTTTAGTGATAGCTAGTAGTAAGATGAAATGAAGTTTCAAATAGCATAATCCTACCTGCATTCTTGGTTGAACGTATATGGCATTAGCAGTTGTACGGGCACCGGTCAAGGAAGCACGAGCTCTTCCGATATTTCCAAGGTGGTAGAATGCCTTGCTTTCCTCCAATTCCACTTCCACAAGCACATCTTTGTCATCCAATTTCTTCAGTTCGCGAATTAGATCAGCAGCTGAAAAAAGTCTGGTTTTCAGATCTTGTTGGAAACGAAGGCGGAGAAACGAAAAAAAAAAGAAAGTTTAGTAAATACCTAGCGGTAAGGCTTGCGTGTATCTGTGAAGATCGTTGAACAAACGGATAAGACGAGCTTCGAGTGTTTGACGAAGGAAGGTGCGATTCTGGTCCATGGCCCACTGGATACATTCGCGAACAAGTTCGATCTGTGAACTCTTGCATTTTGCGGAAGAACAATATGAAAATTAAAAAATTACCTTGATATCTCCATCTTGATCATCAATCATGAGACATAGGTCCACCAGATTTCTTACCAGCTTAGCAGCTTTTGCTTTTCCCAAGGATACGAGAAAGGGACGAGTTTGTTCAATCATCTAAAGAAGGATTAAAGTTGAGAATCAGCATAGGAGTCGAATGCCATGGTATAGAAAAGGGAAAATAATTGAAAAAATAGACAAGTTAGTAAGAAACACGCAAATCGAGGAGAATACAAAACAAACCTTGCGCAGCTCTTCCGTCTGCTTATTCTTGGCGAGCATGTTCCCAAGCTCCATAATAGACTCTTCCTTCTTTTTGATGTCCGCATCTCCAGAAGCTGGTGATTTTACTGGGAAAAATTAAATGTGAAATAAAAAGGCCCGAAACGAAACTGAACTCACCAAAATTTGTTAGATGACGAATTACATTTTGTTCATTTTGATGAGGAAGAGATGTGATGTGATCCATAACAGTCCCTCCTGACATTTCTATCACGTTTGATAATTAGCGAACGAGCGAACAATGACGCTTACGAACTTCGTAAATCGAAAAACCTGAAATATCGTCACTGCAATGCTATTTACTTCACTAAAAGCTTGTTTGTAAAGCGTCTATGACTAATGGTGTCGCCCAAACACGACAAATCTACAGTCTATATAAAGTGCTAAAATGTTGTGGTACACTTCAAATACTATGAATCTACCAGATAGAATCACAACTCATCAAAGAAGATGACAATTGAAATTGAGGAAGGGAAAACGACAAAAAAGTTAAAGACCAGATTTATACAACTGGCAAGTATATCACATGACCTAGACGTCGAACAAAATGAATGTTTGGAGGTTCGACTGAAGAAATCGATACGGCAAGTTTCCTCATTTGATTTGAGACGAAAAGATGGCTTCGCCGAAACATTCGTCGAAACTTGCTGAAGAAATTACAAAGAACCTTTCGCGCTTTTTATTTTTTTCAAGAGGAGATTTTCAGCTTTCAATGCAGAAAGCCAAGGAAGTGCAAAGTTGCTTTCACAAAAATCGCATCATTTACACATTCCAATCTTTCATTGTCTAGAAGAAGCCAATCGATAGGCCAAAAAGGATGTAAAATGACACCTCTAGATGATTCACTCATACTTCAAGGAGGTCTGACTGCATCCTCTTCGAGCTGTGATCAAGAAATTACATAAAAGTGAACCCTGTGAAGACAAAGAGAAAAACTCCCAAAGATAAAGAACCTGGGACTTTCAGCCAGCAATTTGTGGTTGCACAGACCTAGGAACTATAAACACAAGTTGATTACTTTCCAGAACGTGGGCGGAGAACTGAACCAACATGAAATTTTCAAAACACGCCCACCAGAATATTGACAAGATATCGATTGGCAACCACTCAATACTGCGAAAAACGCCCATGGCATTGGGTGATCATAAAAAACAAGATCACTGCCAGCAAAAAAAACCATGACGCAGGAGGACAAGTCCTGGCTCCAGAAACCCGAAATCCTTCCGGGTAACGATAACAGCCTATCAAAGTATAATAAAAACAGAAAAGCCAGCAAAATCCTTTCCAGACATTTTCAGGATTGCCAAGTCGAGCGGAAAAACAGCAGCTGCATGTTTTGAAGCAAGCCAGATGATATGAACGCCATGAATGCATGTTAGATCTTCACGCTGCTGGGTACTGTAGCGGCTGGCGTATTGCCACCACCCTGGGTGGTTTGGTTTTTGATGCAATGTTTCGCAATATGCACTTCAGAGACAATCATTCGATATCATTTTTTTCATTTTGCTTTGGAATACGTCCTTGGTGTAGACAATCTTTGCCATTTCATTTTCTCTGATTTTGCCGCTTTTGAAGGTGGCAGTGGCCTTCTCAGTTAGCTTTTGGCAAACATCTCTTCTGACTGTTGAGCAATCTTTTATGTCAGCACCGGATGATGCGATCAGCAGCCATTCTGTCGTTATTCTGCTATATGTTTTTTATTGTTCTTGGCTGCAAACTTAAAGGCAGCGTCCAGGCAAATCTGAGCCTATGGGATTTCACTTGGGGATAATCTTGGAGCCTAACTACACTCCCCATGCGACAGCTCGAATGATGAGCTCACAGTATAGATATTCGCCTCCAAACTGGAGCCCGGGATCTCGCATTCGTTGCGCGAGGTAGGTGCCAGAGTAAGCGAATATTTTGTTCAGGTTGGGGTCCCGTGCAGAATTGACGTCTCTCACCATGCTGGCGTCAATCCAAGTGACGTCAATTCTGCACGGGACCCCAACTTGAACAAAATATTCGCTTACTCTGGCACCTACCCGACACATCAGTTTCGCGCGAGGACCGCGCGTCGCGCCACATGCGAATACGATCTCTTGGTCCAGTTTGGAGGTGAATAGCTCAACTGTGAGTTCACCACTTGAGCTGCCGCTGGGCAGTGTCTTAGTTAGGGTCCAAGATTACTTTCTCATCAGAACCCCGTATGTCCAGGTTTGCCTGGGCGCTGCTTCTAATGATAGCAGAGTGAAAGAGCAATTCCATGAAACGCTGGTTTTTTATTTCCAAATGATTCATCTGAAAGAGAGGCGGAATCCTACGTTCTTCCAGAAAAGATCTAACATATCTCCAAATACTATGGGCCAACTTGCGAGAAGTTTTTAGGCTCATGAAACTTGTAGAATGAATTTTCCTCCGCGCGAAATGCCGGCGTAAACACTCAATGAGAGCTCAATCAGCCCATTACATAAGCGGCAGCTCATGTGGCCATCTATGACTTAATAATAACGGGCTAAGGGTGTTTTCGTCTGTTTGTCTGTCTGTCTGTGTGTACGTCTGTCTGTCACGAAATTCGTAGAGCGACTTCCATCAAAGATCCTGAGCTAAAATTTTGGTCATAACACCCTATCAGCATGTAGGTAAACTGTGCAAAAGCACAAGCCGATCCGATTAGTGGAACCTGTGAAAACTGAGCGCCAAACGGGTCCGCGCGACTTTTGGTCCGCCAAAATCTGTCGGTAGTTGGGCTTTTTGCAAAGTCGTGGATTTGTTCAGCAAGTAAATCTGAAAAACATTGACTTCAGCTCAAAAAGTAAGCAGAAAGTCAATCTTTACACAAAATTGGCGCCAAAAAGATGTAAGTGAGCAAATTGTCGATTTGCCAAGAATTTTCTATAAAAATTGAGAGGATTTTTGAATAGATATGTAGCCCAAAGTGGTGTTTATCCTTATGGCGAATATAAAGCCAAAATAAATTCAGTAACCCATTCAGAATCGCATTTGTTTTTCTGCGGGAAAATTTTTTCTCCTGAAATTACCAATCTTACATGGAAAAGCACTAAAAATGAATGGTTGTTTACAATTCATTCGTGATGTTCAGCATAGCGCGGTGAGTTTCAAAGTCATTATTATGCGATCACGAAGAAGGCACGGATAGTAGAGCCAGTGCGAACCTCTGCGAAGCAGAGGTGACGCACTGGTTCTTGATATTGAAGGTTTCGGCGCTATTCGGCTATCCGGGCCTTAAAATTCTTTGGTCATGGATTTCGCTCAAACTTGGTACAGGGGGGTTATCTGACATGCTGATCACGAATATCACATTTTCTCCGCAGGAAACCGCCTTCCTGTGAAGTTACGGTAGGTAAACGGTAGGGGGTCAAAATCGTAGATTCAGCTGAAACTTGGCCCAGCGGGTTATTCGGCCCGTTGACGCCGAATATCACATTGGTTTTGTACCGTAGCGTCATTTTCTCGGGTTACGGTGGGTATACGGTAGGGGGTCAAAATCTCAGAATCCGCTATAACTTCGCACAGAGGGGTTATCTGACATGCTGATCACGAATGTCACACTTTCTCCGCACGAAAACGCCTCCCTGCATGGTTACGGTAGGTTTACGGTAGGGGTCAAATAACAAATCGGCAAATGTATCTCCCCCTGTGCTTTGCTTAGGCAAAAGCCGCAGCAGGGTGTGTAGCGCGCGGCGGTGGTCGTGTGTGCAAAGCTTCACAGTCGTCCGAATCGTCGTACACCCGTTTCAGGCAGAACTATGCTTTACACCCGTTACCGTGTAGCTACCGTAACCCGAGAAAATGACGCTATGGTTCAAAACCAATGTGATATTCGGCATCAGCGGGCCGAATAACCCCTCTAGGCCAAGTTTCGGGCAAGTCCGTGATTTTGACCCTCTACCGTAGTCCTACCGTAACTCCACCGGATGGCGCTGTCGCACGGGATAAACATCATATTCGTGTTCAGCGTGCCAAATAACCCCTCTAGACGAAGTTTCGGGCGAATCCGTGATTTTGACCCCCTACCGTATACCTACCGTAACCCTGCAGGGAGGCATTTTCCTGCGCATAAAAGGTGATATTCGTGATCAGCATGTCAGATAACCCCTCTGGGCCAAGTTTGAGCGAAATCCATGCCAAAAAATTTTCGGGGCTCGGATAGCCGAATAGCGCCAAGGTTTCTTTGAATTTCGAAGGAGTCGACTCTTTTCGCCCAGTACGTACTCGATGACGCTGCCTGGTCTGTTCGGAATGAGTACGGTGCTGAGCTAAGTTTGCATTAACTCGAGAGCCAATGGATTGCTGTGATTTGGGCGATCACTACCATTTGATTCAACTGGCTTGGCTTCGGGAAGCCGGGGCTCCGTGACCTAATTAAGGCCAGCTAGTGATCAGAGAGCACCCGCGCGAGAGAGACGCAGGTGCGTCGCCGCGAGCGGTCTTAATTGCGTCACAAAGCCCCGCCTTCCCGAAGCCAAGCCAGTTGAATCAAAAGTTAAAATACGGTTGATCTGCGTATAAGTGACCCTTTGGGTTTTGCTCTCAATCGCATGTTGTCGTTGAGTAGGTTGAAGCCAGAATTGACTATCTCTGCCTTTTGGCGTCAGAAACGTCTCTGAAGGTAGATGCCAGACTTATCCGGTTCAACCGATTCGTTTCGTTTACCCATTTTTCAATGGTCAGCACTGACTTGACCAATAGGGATCGGGGTGGATCGAAAAGGTTAACCGGATAAGTCTGCGCCTGCCGACGGTTTCACGCTGCACAAAAACACCTGAAGATCAACGCGCGAATAATAAAAAAGAACGTCGTTAGCGAATGAAATCTCCTGGAAGTTATCATCCTTGAGTTGGTAATTATTTTTTATTTTGTTCTGGTTTGGCGACAAATAGTTCTGCCAACTTACAATTGCATAGCTTCGGCGTACATTTGCACTTCGTTGGTGATATTGATATCGGATGCGTCGGCGTTTATAGAGGATGTCTCATTGCGGGTGTCTTTTGTCTTAATACTCTGACCTTCGCGGCCACCTTGCTCGGCTTTGCGCCACGTTCGCGAATGTGTCGTTCGGGCACACTTTCTATAGTTCTATAAATTCATTTCTATAATTTCCTGTTTCCGTGCATCCGTGCACGACTTGTGTATCAACTCTTTTAATGCAGAAATCTTAACACAGATATTTTTCCCGTCCATTGAAGTGTCGGAAGATCATTGGTACTTAGCAAGTTGATGTTTTTTTAGGGAACAACATCTCCCTCAAAGCTATTGGGTTGGTCCTCGACATCACATTTCGGTCTTGTTGCAGATAATAAGTACTTATAACATTTTACTATCCGGTAAAACTATTATCTGCAACAAGCGAAATGTCGGGGAAAGGTGAATGCAGCGCATGGGGAGGGAAGACGGCATGGGGTCGACAGGAAGAGGTAAGTGTAAGCAAATGGCGTTGAAGATCTAAAAGTCATGCTCCAGGATTGTGAGCCGATCGTTTCTTTTGTGGAAATCATGAGTGAGGACTTGGCAGATTCGTTGAACGAAGAGGAAAAAAGGAAGGAAGAGGAATTTTTGAAGGCTGTCGCACAGAGTGAAGCTGAACCGGTGGGTACCACAGTAGCTACCGTCATATACTATGTAAAAGTATCTCATAGTTTGCACGCTTAGATGTATACGAATGACGAAGAGATGGCACGGGCTCTGCAGCGTGAATTTGACCGAGAGTATGATTTGTCGGTCAGGTTGGAAGAGGAGAAGCAGAAGGCAAAGAAGAACATCGGTACCTTGCCTTTCACTTCTTTTTCTGCTTATTTTTAGAAAAACATTGGCACTTTGCTTTTCACTTCTTTATCTGGTTATTTTTCCATAGTCGTAAGATCAAAATTTTTAAAGGCTATCTTGTCTTTTTGTTGTCTTTTCAAAGTATGTACACGACGGCTAGCCTTAGGGCGATTTTCATGTTTCAAAGTAAGTAAAAGATCGTATTGTCAGGTCCTTATTTCGCAGCATAGCAAGGGGTTTAGCAGGTAGCAGGAAAATGCGGCAAAGTGTCTAAATAATGTAAGCTAGATCATCACCTTAGCTCAATTGCATTAGAGATGACATGAGATGTGCGCCGATGCTCCTTTTACTGCTGAAAATGAAGTTTTTATAGGTTTTGAACATGATCGCAGTCAATTTCAGCTACTGTGACCGTAACTCCTGATCGTTACTATCCAAAAACCACACAGAATTCTGATCAGTCAAGCGATGACGAGGATGTGAGACAATTTGCAACGGAGATGCTCTATGCAAAGGTTGTAGAGCTTAATTTCTTTTATAAATACTAGCATTCTTAGACTTTATTTGACCCTTCTCAATTCCTGAAATATTTACACGTTCAGCTTTTATTAAGTTGTCGGACGATGCGCCTGTGCACAGCGGGAACGTTTATCGTAATGCTGGAGGGGAGCTCATTACTAAGCACAATGCAGATGTTTCGGCAAAACGCAATGCGGACAAGGCTATGAATGTGAGTATGTCGTTGACCTGGACCCGAGTTCAATAGGGCTAGAGGAACTTTGCTAGTCACAAGTGAACTTTTTCGAAGCAGTCTCGTTTTATCTGCTATGGTGGCATTTTTTTAGGACAAAGTCAATTTGGCATTCGGTGATATGTGCAATGAGCAGATCAATAGTCGTGTCTATAACTCACTGAGAAATTTCTCAAAAGCAGAATCTAAGAGACAGCACAAAGTCAAAGATAAGGTTAGTTTTCTTCGAAATCCTTTAATAGTGAGAAAAAACGTTGTTTCTTATCAAATATATTCTGCTTCTCTTTGTTTCATCTATCGCTTGCAGACTTGTCGCTTTTCTTATCCAATCTATAATGGTTTTTGTTTCTGGAACTCAAGATTTTGATATATCAAAGTTATTTTCCCATGAATCCTGACTCTGTGTCTCAGTCTTTCGTCATACCTAGGTGTTCCATTCTAGGAAGAAAAGGCGACCATCGAAACATCTATGGATGCGGTAACTCGTCTTCATCTTTTCAAGTGGATCAATCAAGGCGTTTTCGACAGAGTCGAAGGTGTTATTGCTACTGGCAAGGTGGGCATTTATGAAAAATCGTCACAAATTATTTTTCCTCCCTTTGCAGGAAAGTGCTGTGCTGAATGCAGTCAGTGATGAAAATGGTGAACGATTTGCGATTAAGGTTTACAAGACCAGTTTAACTGAGTTCAAGAACAGGTTAATTCCCATTTTTGGTACGTAGTTACCGTACTTTCGTGTGCAGAAGTTGTTTCCCCGCTTACGAGTTTTCTCCTTTTTTTTTCTCCCGAAGAACGTTCTGGCTTGATGCGCTAGCTATTTCGCTTATTGCAGGTCTGAGTACGTGAAGGACGACTTCCGCTTCAAGAATCCGCGTGGGGTGTTGAAGATTTGGGCTGAGCGCGAGTTCATGAATCTGACAAGGTGTGTCTGATCATATTTACTTGGATCTATACATAGCATATAATTACTTGCTGATTTTTGACCAAACCCTTCATTTTGAAACCTTCTAGTTGTGTTTTTTCAGAATGTCTCGTGTTGGCATACCGTGTCCTGTTCCGGTGAAATTGAAGCGTCATCTGCTTGTTATGTCGTTAATTGGTGAGAATGGCGAAGCAGCTCCTCGTCTCAAAAACATAGACTGGGAGTTCTATACCGTCGAAGAGCGGAAAGACATCTTCTCTCAGGTGCAAGATGTATGTGCACTTTTTCTGAAATTTCAATGCTATTTTCATGGTTCTTGTTTTTTTTTTCTCTTGCAGATAATGTGCCGAATGTATAAAGAGTGTAAACTTGTTCACGGCGATTTGAGTGAATTTAACTTATTGCTGGCAGACGGGAAGGTAAGCGCTTGTTTTCTTTTTCATGTCAGTCTTTCTGACCTTTCTAATTCTTAGTTCTGTTTCGAATAAATCCTTCTTGATGTTGATATTTTAGGTGTATGTCATTGATGTATCGCAGTCCATGGATTTATCGCATCCGCGAAATCTACACTATCTGATAAGGTAGCGGATAGTGTTTGATATTTGCTGTATCGCTATCATGTTTTCAGAGATATTGAAAATGTATTGGCTTTCTTCCAAAAGCTGGAAATTCCCGACTTACCGACTTCAGTCGCATTGTTCAATCTTATCACTGACCTCGAAATGACGGAGGATGGTTCACTTCTTGTGCAGGTCGATTAGTTTATTGTTGTTTGCTTTGTCGAAGGTTATTTCGTCATAGGTGGAGCGTTTCACGGAGGAGAACAGACTGAATCTAATCAACAAATCGAAACCGGCTGACTTTGAGTGGGCCGCCTACAATAAAGAAAGAAAGGATTTGCGTGGCGAGTCGCCCGCCAGGGAGTACAATTGATGGAGATGCAACGAAATCGTAGAGCGTTCTTTTTCTATGTGACATCAAGAAAAAGTAAGAGCAAACCACTTGATGTGTGCGAATGTAGACGAATCAATCGGCTTATTGAACATGAAAAAGGAGCGCTTGCCAGTCTTGTAGTTAGTCTTAGTTGCTTAGATACTGTTTTGAAATTTTTTGCTCTAAAAGGAGAATTCCCTATATTACGAGCGAATAATTGTTTGCTTTATTTACCAAGCACACGTCGGGTGGATTGTTGTTACTGTACTTGTTGTTGCTGTATATTGTTTTTGTTTCCTTGTAGTGTTTTTGTTATGTAATAATTGTTTTAAGTATTCTGGTCTATAGTTCTAAAATGCAGAACGGATGTGATCCTGGGAAGAGAATAAAGAGTCGGTTTCTTCAGCAAATAAATGAGCACGATATCGAAATATCACGGTCGAATCCGACACAGATGTGAACAACAAACACTGTTGCAAAGTAAAATATTTACTTGCAAACTGATTTCTTTTCAAAATGATGAAACACAAAGGCACAAATGAAAGAAATTAAGGCACTATGAGATGACAAGATAATAAAAGGAAAACAAGACGAGTGACCACTCTTGGTCAATGCAGGATATCACACTACCTAGCTCATGGCAGCCATAGCGTAGCGCAACTGTATGAGGTCAACCCCGCCCCCTCTCACTGCCTCATCCTTACTCTCTCGCAGCGTGTATCCTAGGGGCACGCTAGGATGCCTTAGCCAGGCTAGCTGCTTATCGATTCGATAAACAGCCAAAACAAAGAAACTTGTGAACTATATGATATATCAAACATAGAAAAACGAACTAGTACTACACTACAAGGGGGTCCCCTGCAAAGAGCGCTTCCACTGCGCGACTAGTTTAGCCGTCCTCTGCAAGAATTTCTAAAGGGCTCCCTTCTTTGAAAACGAGGTTTTGGCGTCGTTCTGCTCTGTGACGTAGATCTGTTCTCCCGTCGATGAGAATTCCGTTGATACGACGAAGATCTGTTCTCCAGCTGATTAAAATTCCGTTGTTGCGACCGAGAGTCGTGACGTGCTCCTCGTCCTCGCATATAGGTGCTACTTCGGGGCTCCCTCTGCACTGCTGCGCTTCTGCAGCTATTCTCAGGCTCACGTATCCTTTTGAAGTCCGGCAGTTTCAAAAATGCGCTGTATTGGGTTTTTGTGGCGTTCCAAAACCTTTTCGCTGCGCTCTGAGTGAAGTGTCTTCCCGTAACAAGGTTGATTTTGTCGGCCAAAATTTTGTAGGCGGCTCCCAGCATCGCGTTTTCCGAGCGCTTCGGCAGCAAACATCGCATTTTTGGGGCAAGGCTCGGGCGCTGTGCGCAGGTTTCCTCCATTAAGTCACGAAGAAGATCCACGGTGGCTCCCCACCCTTCGTCATCTTGAGGACCCGGAAGTGCAATCAACTCCGCACCTTGGGCGACTGCGTGTAGGAATAGCGTCCATGCGCTTCTCCAGCGCAAGATATCCGAACTCGAGGCAGGTGAAAATAGTATTATTGCCGATAATTCCTCCACAAACCATTCCGGCTCGACTTCATCCGGGGAGCGTATGACGTGTACTGCTACAAAATCGGCTTCAAGGCATCGTAGGACCTCGTCAAATCCTTCCGGCAGCAGAATGAGCGTCTCCCGCGGCTTCAGCTGGCACCACCGACTTTCCATCCAGGGGTTGCAGTTTGCGAACTCTACGGCTTTTCCGTAGAGATAAGACAAGTTGTACGGGTCATCACGCGTTCGAGGAGGGCAGTCCTGTGCTGGCTTCTTGGCGTCGACTACTGAGGCTAGGGTCGCATGAAGGCAATGACTACGAAAATATGACAATGAAATTCCTAGAGAATGGGGGGTCAGAATATCGTATGAGACATCCAATAAACGAGCAACACGCCAATTATCAGGGACATGGGACTGGGTTATCACAGAAATGTTCCGGGCGAGATCGTACGGCGTTCCTATGCTGATGCAGCTGAGAGGCGAATTCGGGATGACGTCCGGCACTCTTTCCTCGATCGAGCATTCCAAAACGGTGTTTCCATGGGCGAGTTTTCCGGGACATTTCCAACTGACGTGTCTGGCATTGGTTGCAGATGATAAGGGTTTCCTGAAAAGAAAATTTATTAGTCTAATGCTACTCACAACCCCATCAATCTTCTCCTGACTAGCTTTCTTGGGTCGTCCCCGTTTTCTACTAGTTTTCGTCGTGGATAAATCGGGCATTTTCACAGTTTTCTTGGGTCTTCCCCGTTTCCTGCGCCCGGTTATCCCTACCACCGGAGTATCGTCGATTTCCGACGGTACTTTGACCAAATGGTCAAACTGTACTCGCCGGGGCTCCTCATTTTCGCCAATCTGAGTGATCAGCGCCGAGTTATTGCTGGCTTCAATTACCCGAAACGGTCCTGCCCAATCCGTTACTAATTTAGGGTGCTCAGACTGCCCTTTTTCAGCTGGCAGTTTCATATAGACGCGGTCTCCCGCTGCAAATTTTACTGATTTTGCTGTTTCCAGCTTCCGATCGTAATATTTTTTCATATTTTCGCGGTATTCACGTGCATTTTCTATAATGCATTCGCGGGCGAGTTTTAACCCCGACAAGAGCTCCGTTTTGTAATTATCGTAGTCTACGATGTACGGAGATAGGTGTTCTGGTGGAATTACCGCGGACGGATACTTAGGGTCACTTCCGTACAGCAAAAAATGCGGGCTTTCCCCCGTTGCTCTGTGAGGTGACGCGTTGTAGGCGTAAACTACCGTGGGGAGCACTTTGTCCCATTCACTTGGTGTTACCGTCTTCTTCTTGAGCATTCTAACGATAGTTCCGTTTACCCTCTCCGTCACTCCATTTTCTCTCGGGCAGTATCCTTTGGTAAAACTTTGGGAAATCCCCATATAATCGCAGAGAACCGTCATTATACTGTTCTCAAATTCGCCACCGCGGTCTGAAAACACTGTTTCCGGCCAGCGTCCTGTCGCGCAAATCCAGTTGCTGAATAGGGCTTCAGCAACAGTTTCCGCCTTTTTGTCGGGTACCGGATACGCTCCAAGATACTTGGTGAAATGGTCTATGATAGTGACTATATACCGGTTTCCGCGGCTAGTCAAACCCATCTCTAAGATGTCGATCCCCACTATTTGAAAAGGTCTGGATACTTCAAAGGGTCGCAACGGTGGGACATTATCCTTTTTCCAGTTGGTCAGAAAGCATTTCTGGCAAGATCGGTACCACCGAAACAGGTCTGCTCGCATTCCAGGCCAAAATACCCTTTTCCTGAGCTGAAGGAACAATTTTCGCGGGTGAAAATGTCCTCCAAGGGCTCCTGCATGGGCTTCGTCAAACACGCTTTGGCGGCGTGATCGCGGCACTACTGGGACCAAAGACCCATCTTCCTTTATCAGGTGTAATTTTCCGTTCTCAATGGTAAAATCCACAGAACTAAGGGTTTTCTCGTGTCTTGGGAGTTTCACCTCCTCTTCGCGCTCGCTCTCTACTGCAGAAATCAAGGCTGCAAAATCGGAATCTTGGCGCAATTCCGACAACCATTCGTGCTCTTGAACTGCACAAACTACTTTTTCACCTTCGGCGTACCCGTATTTAGCAAATACGTGTTCAGGGAGTCCCCTAGATAATGCGTCAGCAACGCAGTTAGCTGCTCCCTTCAGGTGTTCGATGGTCAGATCATAGCGCTGAACTTCCAGCGCCCATCTCAGCACCCTGGGAGACACATTGGTACGTTTAAAGAGCGATACAAGCGCTGCATGGTCCGTTTTTATTATGATTTTGACCCCATAGATAAAATAATGGAACTTCTTTAACGCATAAACTACTGCCAGCGCTTCTTGATCAGTGACGTGATAATTCCTCTCCGCTTGCGTTAACGGCTTAGAAGCAAAAAATACGGGATGGAGCAATCCATCTTCGCCTTCCTGTGTCAAAACGGCGCCCAAACCTATACGACTTGCGTCGGTATAGATTATGAAAGGACGGCTTCCGTCTCTTGCTCTTTCGATATTTGGCTGCGCCAAAACCGGGGCCTCTGTTAAAACCTCCTTCAGTTTGCTAAAAGCTCTCTCATGCGCCGCCGTCCAACAGAAAGCATTCTTAGGGCTGGTAAGCTCATAGAGAGGCTTCGAGATCTGCGCAAAATGTAACACAAATTTGCGATAGTATCCTGCCATACCCAGGAATGTCCGTAGTTGCGCTATGTTGGTTGGGCGCTCAAAATTTTGAATTCGCACCACTTTATCCGGGTCGGTTTTGACACCATCCTTATCCACTACATGCCCCAAAAATTCGATGCTAGGTTCCATAATCCGGCATTTTTGTGGCTTCATCTTAAGCTGAGCTTGTCTCAAAGCTTGGCACACTTTCCTCAGCACTTCGGCGTGGCGCTCTACGCTTTCGGTGGCGATTAGAATATCATCGATATACACCGAGACCTCGCGCCCTTTAACATCGCCCAATACTTGATCCATTAAGCGCTGGAATTTCGCAGGGGCGGTTGTGAGTCCAAAGGGTAGCACCCTAAACTGGAATTGGCCCGCGGTAGTGGTAAAAGCACTAATCTCTTTGGCGCGCTCTGTCAGCGGTACTTGCCAATACCCACTCGCTAGATCCAATGATGTGAACCAGCACATCCCCTGCAGATTTTGCAAGGTAACATCTATAGGTGGGAGTGGGTAACTATCCTTTTTCGTTACTTTGTTCACTTCCCTATAGTCCACGCAAAGACGGATAGTTCCATCCTTCTTTGCCACTAAGACTATTGGCGATGCCCATGGTGACTCACTATTCTCTATCACTCCCCTTTCCTTAAGCTCATCAAGCATTGTCTCAACCTCCGCACGAAGTCCATACGGTACCGGTCGAGTCTTCTGCCTGATGGGCGGATGGTCTCCCACTTCAATGTCATGTTCAACCAGATGGGTTTGAGTGAGCTCCAAATCAGAAATGGCAAAAACGTCATGATAGTCTTCCACTACCTTCCTAATCTCTATAGGCATAGGACCTGCTCTTCTATTGGCGTCAAGTAAACCAACCAGGTTACCTATCCTTTCCGCATCTTCTACCAATGTAGGCTGCTTCAATACTAGCATATCGCCAGGTAATTCACTTATCCTAGGATCTATCCATGAATC